GGAACGAGGCATTCGGCCTCCGCTCACGCTCCCGTCCTTCTTCGAGCTCTGGCCCCTCTCGCTCCACTCTTCTCGCCATTGTTCGACTTCGTTAGTTCGACGGCTTTCCCTCTCTATAAGATTGGAAGCTACGATCCTTCTGATCGGAAGCCCCATATGAAGCCGTAGCTTCTTCCCTCAGGCTCGATTGATCCCCCTCCATCTCCCGTTCGCGCGCTTCTTCGGCCGATTCCCGTGAAAGAGAGAAAGAGAGAAAGAGAGAGAGAGAGAGGGAGAGAAGAAAGTTATCCATACCTTACCGATCTCTCCTCTTCCTCCTATCAAGCTGCTCGTGCCTTCCGATCCTTCCCAGAGACCGACCTGCCTCGATAGTGGAAAACCTGCCCCTACAAACAAGTACAATCATTGAACCACCTGAGATTGGTGAAAGATGAATATGATATTGGTACAAATGGCTCTCCTACGAATACTTCTAGAAGATCGCAGTTGATACAACAGTCCCTGCGAATGAGTACAAATTACTTGTGGATGACAACAATGAGTATATCGTAAATACAACGAACCACTATGGGCACAAGTACAAATATCACCTACGACAGTAGTGATCAAGATCTTCAAGTGTTTCGGATACAAGGGCAACCCGATGTATGAAAAAGGACACCCCTAACAGAGTGGAGGAGATGTTTGAGCAAATTTGAACTAAACTTCCTGGTGTTCCAAAATTTCTTCTTGATTCTATACTTAGGAAGAAAACAATATTCGCATCTACAAATATCAGAAACAACAAGTCCACTACACTGATGATCTTAAAAGAAGTTCTTTTCAAAGCAACAAACTTTAAAGTCCAGAAGACCCTCCCCGGTGAATGAGAAAAGGGGAGTCAACATGAAGATGAGGAGATGCCTCATAACATCAAGACACAACACCATCGGATCTGCAACATTTGTGCAAGCAGACAGAAGGCATCCACAAACTACAACGCCAAGCCACCGGATCTGCAACATTTATGCAAGCAGACATAAGACGTCTATAATTTATAACGCCACGCCACCGGATTTGCAACATTCGTGCAAGCAGATCGAAGGCGTCCACAAACTACAACACAACGCCACCAGATCTGCAACATTTATGCAAGCAGACAGAAGACGTCTATAATCTACAATGCCACGCCACCGGATCTGCAACATTTATGCAAGCAGACAGAAGGTGTCTATAATCTACAACACAACGCCACCAGATCTGCAACACCTATTCAAGCAGATAGAAGGCGTCTATAATCTACAACACAACGCCACCGAATCCGCAACACTCGTACTAGCGGACATAAGGCGTGTATAAATTCTCAAATGAAACGTTGTGCATTCAAATGGCAATTACCTGCATAACTAAAATACTTCAAAATACCCCTGCACGTGCACCATAATTTGTATACACATAGGTACACTAAAGGGGAAAGTACAATCTCGACCCACTGGGGCCTCGATGAGCATGTTATTGGTACACACGTGACGTCTAGGAATGCTGGACGAGTTATTAAGTGAATTCAAGTTTGAATCCGATCCTTCTATACTGATCAATAGAAGTCGACAAGATTTGAACTATCAAATAAATATATGATTGTGAAGACCAATGTATTTATTTTAATACATTCATATTAGGCCTTCAAGACCTATAATCAAGAGAATTCACTAATAAATGCGTAATGCCTACGAGAAACCTGATCCTCGGTCAACAGCTTGGTCGAGTTGACAGGGTTCAATCAACAAAAGGAAAATGACCCCAAGAACACCCCGATGATGGCCTTGTTGAATGCAAATCTCAATCGGAGGGGTTCACAAATACTTCTGAATGCCTCCCAAAAGTCCACTCAAAATCCAAACTCCGTAAATCCAAAATTTCAAATGTTTTAAATTGGAATAAATCCATCAATCACTTAAGGCAAAATTCATCCACCCTCCACAACAGTTTGCCGGGGTGGACAAATCAAAATCTACTTCAACTCACAAAGAGCCAAATGCCTAGTTGAAAATATCACTAGGATCCATTCTCAAACAATCTCCTGCCAGTAAGGACGTGGTACGTGTCCTCTAACCAGCGGTTTTGCCGCCAAATGGCACCGCAGGATAAACGGTTATGACCCGGGGCCCTCTGAACTGAGTGGTTTTGCCGCCAAATGGCACCACGAAGTACCGGTTATGGCCAGAGCCAATGCGTTCCTTAATGGCATCAAATCCTTGAGATATGAATCAATAGGATATGATTGATAGGGCACAAAGCCCTCTGTTAGCTAAGGTGGATTCAAATTTGTCCCCTTAGGCAAATATTCCCCCAGGTTTACAAGGTACCTTTGGACGAAGCAACTCATGTCTGCTGACAAGGATTCTTCTGTCAGGTTGGGTCGACTATCTCCTCTGACTAAGTAAGACCAGGGACCACGATGGTCCGGTACGACGGATCCATAGGATATTGATCGGGTCCATCATCCATTCCTCCACTATCTGCTTTAAGTGTAAGATGGTGCAATTTTCATTTTAAACATCAAATCTCCAAATTTTCAAATCCAAACATAAATTTCATATTCCATACCTATGCTGCTACTATATGCCAGATAACACGTATATTCTACATATCTAATTGATGACTAGCCTTAATCGAAAGTTCTCTCTCGTTATCGGGAGGGGTAATTAACTATAAGGGTATGCGCCTATAGGAAACCAGAACTCAGATCATAATGTCCTCACAAAATGAGGGCGAAATCTCTGGGTAGTGTCTTATCTACAAACTCATCTTCCTTCCAAAATTTACCCCAGACCTTATTTTGTTAAAACTCACTCGCCAAAGCAAAAAGCAACATCAGCGCGGCGGGGAGGATATGGCCGAATTTTCGGAGCCCACAGGAATGTCATCGTCAAAGGGGTGAAGAAGCACACAAATGGAAGAAGATCAACAACGTGCGGGCTGGAAGGAGCAAAGTCCAACGAGAAGGCAACACCGTCGAAGGGGAGAACTCGAACAGGGAACGTCATTGAAGGAGTGAAGTCCAACATGAAGGGAATGTCGTCGATGAGGCGTAGTCTTCCTTTTTCGCTTGAATTTGAGCAGCGATTTTACTTGACCTGCAAAATGAACTGCGGCAGGGAGTTCAAAATATAGTGCAATTTCGTTTCACTTTTCTTCATATCAAATCAAATAGAAATAAAATTAAAATTCAAGTATTTACTTTACTTTACATTCACTTTGCTACCAACCAAACAACCCCTTAGGTGTGATGAGTGATTTTCATCAGGACGCAGGTGCAAGAATCGACCTCTTCAGGTTTTTATGGTCTGTGTGGGGGAAAGAGGAGAACGGGGATGAGCTAGAGGAGATTGTAGGGGAAACATAGCAGTTACATCTAGACACACCATAAAGGTGAGAGGGAAAATCAGGGAACAACCAATGGTGGTTTTGGTGGACAGTGGGACTACAATTAACTTCGTGTTAAATTGGGCCGTGGATTAATTGAGGTCGAAGTTGGTGAAGACGGAAGGATGTGGGGTGATGATGAGAACGAGTAAGAGAGGAGTCGGGGAATATGTAAAGGTGTGGTTA